CGGGCAATAATAACGGCGGCAACGGCTGGAATATCGGGAACGGAGGCGGGAATGTCAACGGGACTGTTGACGGTGACGGAGGCGGGACCGGTGATTGGGAGTCTAATGTGAGAGGCAATGGCGGCCATAACGTGGGCAGTAATGCGGGCAACGGTAACGGCGGCACCAATATTGGTATAATAAGTGGTAACTGGAATGGTCTGAACGGCTGGAACAACGGTAACGGCGGTAATAACGCTGGAGATAACACATATAATAGTCATGTGTTGCTACGACCCGGCAAAGAAACCGGTAATGCAGGTACCGGTATGCGGGAAAATCCCGGTACCAGTGGCGGCCAAGGTTACGGCCATGGTGGTAATAATGTAGGTGATTGGGCCGGAAATGGAGATGGTGGCAAAAATTGGGGTCTCTGGTCGTCCAACGGGAACGGCTATAACGGCTGGAATAGCGGTAACGGCGGGAATAACGCCGGCGATAATGTCGGCAACGGTAACGTGCACTTTGGTGATGACGATGATGATGGTGAAAATGTCGGGTTTGGTGGTGATAATACGGGTGTTGGCGGTAATAATCGGGGTAATAACACCGGTAATGGCAAAAGTGGTACTCATCACGGGTTTGGGTCGGGTAAGGGAAATGGGAACTCCGCGTGGAATAGCGGTAATGGCGGCAATAATGTGGGCGACGCGTCCGGGAACGGGATTGTCGGGAATGGTCAGCAACCGGTACCCCATCGTAAGCATCCCTATCGTAGACCACCCGGTGTTTGGACGCAAGGGTTGGGTAACGGCGGTAATAACGTGGGCAGCGGTTCGGGCAACGGGTTCGGCTCTAAGGCACTGATTTTGGACACTAATGTCATGAATAATGTGGAAAATAAAGCTATAATTAATTCAAAGACTGGCGGTTTGAGTGCCGCCGAAGAGATTACCACCGATGAAAAGGCTGATGATAAAAGTCATATAAATATACTTATGCAAGAAATACAGTCTCAAATTGAACTTGATAATAGTGAACAGTCTAATGTGGGTAAAAATGAGACAATTGTTAATGATAATGATAAATCTAAGATAACTAGTTAAAATAATAATGTTATTTTTGAAATTTTTTATTTAAATGTTTTTAGTGTTATTTTATGTTACTTTTTAATTAAGTTATTAAATATTTAATTATTTTTATATTGTATTAAGTAATAATTATATGAACATTGTAATTTTACAATCAATATAATTAATTAGTTTCCAGTTTGTTTGTTCCAGCTGAGTTATTTACTGTATTTATAAATTAAACAAATAATTTAGTTGTCACAAAATTATATTTTCCAACAATTTCTAAACATAATAAATGAGTTTTATATGATTTATAACATAAGAGTTTAGTATCTAGATAGCTAGACCATTTGTAAATTAAAAGTACATTGTGTCAATATAATAAACGATGGTGTGCACTTAAAAATATTACAAATAGACATATATTTTAGTATAAAATTATTTACATTTATGTTTTTAATGGTAAAGTTTAAGTAAATATTTACTTACATTTCGTAAATAAGTCATAAACAAATATTTTTAAAAGTCTTAAGACATAATTATTAAATTAAAAATTTATATTTCTTAATTTAGATCAAATTATGTATCAAGCGCAAATCATCATGTCTAGAAAACTACTAACTTTTAACGTATATACTTATAAAATTAATGAATACCTTAACTGTAATAACAACTCCACACCAATTGTGGACTTTGTAATTGGTGTCCGTAATTATTATGACACTAATTATGTAAGTATTAAATAATCATAATTTGTAATTGGTAACATTTTTAATTTATTTTCATCTAGCACTATGTATACGGATTTCTCAACACAATCTATCATTACATAGTATGTACACTGAATATGAGAATTAGATTTCTTGGCATTCCATACAAGTATAGCATTCATATGGGAAATGTGTTTCAGGTTTGAAAATATTAAATATATGATCAATTTTATCATGATCAATTAAAAATATATGTACTTGTAATATATGAAATAGTATTGTGACTTATATAATGAGCCAATAAGTATAGGACGCCAAAATAAACACGGTATAAACTCAATCATTAGTGACCAGTTTTACTATGCTGAAATATTAACGTCACTACAACTACAAAACGAACACGCTCATTTAACAGGCATAACGTTATTAAATTGGAGGGTGAGATATTTTAATAAATATTTACCTAGACATGAGAATTTTATACCTACCTGTAATGATTAACTAAATTAGATCTGGATCATTATATTGTTCTTTGCTGTGCTTAATGGCAATCTTCGCAATATATTTAAAAATGTGAAACAATTTTTATCAAGATTAATGTCGCTAACAGTCCAGACATTTATTGCCCAAAGGTTATTTAAACCGAGAACAATAAGCCCTAACCAAAACAAGTATGCGGCAAACAAATGGCTCATGATCATATGGGCGTTTGTATGGATCGTATGCAGTACAGTATTAGCTAGAAGCTTTTCAAGCGTATTATTTACCATGTATTTTAGGCCTAAACCTATTATGTTAATAAACACTATTGAGGAGGTAGTGGCCAACTCTGATATATGGATTTTTGGTACACCATACTCGGTCAATTCGTTTAAATCAATTGGACAGGGTATTTATGAAAATAT